TTCAACCACTTCGACTCCTTCACTGCTCAGATCAGCTGCACTCACACAAATAATTGGCGAGATGTGTAATAGAATGTGAATCTTGAATGTGGTGTGTATAGGCCTGTCACAATAACAACTTTTTGTTGTGCAATATATTGCCCCAGAAAGAATTGCGATAAACAATATTATAGTAATTTTAAGACCATTTAATGCCACTTTATATAATCATAATATAAAACCATAATAATGCAAGAAGGCCAACACACTTTCAAATGACAACAAACTTTTAATTCTTAAGAATATTTAGATCATGGAAATTAAGTATCAAAATATTAGATACCTTAACCCCTTAACTGTCACCTGTGGGACACTTGGCGCTTTTTTTGTTGTTGTCCTTTTTCTCAATCAAATGTTTTAGTAATCATCATAAATTATTTATCGTTTGACAGCTAAGAAGCCCAAGATTCACCCTGTGAAAACCATTTTGAAATCGACCATTGCGTTAGCATGGAAATGGTACTTTAAAATGTTTTGACGGTCTCCTCCCCCTTAGCGGGCGGTGTCAAGTGTCTTATAACAAAATGCATTACGGTCTTTTACAATCAAAACTTTTTATAATCTTGACAAAAAATATATAATTGGAAAGGTCTGAGTCTCAGGATTCCATATTTGGTGGTTATTTTGTGATAGAAGCAAAATTGGCATAGAAATGTCAACATATGTTACAGAAAAATGAAAACAGTTGAAAAAAGTGACAGTTAAGACATTTATAATGTTCTGAAACATTTCCATTTCAAATAAATGCTGTTATTTTGAACTTTGTTCTATTCAAAGAATTCTGAAAAAAAAAGGATCTGTTTCCACTAAAATATTAAGCAGCACAACTGTTTTCCATATTGATAATAATAATGTTTGTTCAACTCCAAATCAGAACATGAGAATGATTTCTGAAGAATCGTGAAACTGGAGTAATGATGCTGAAAATGAATCTTTACCTTTACGAGAATAAATTACATTTTCAAATATTTTAAAACATAAACGATTTAATTTAGAAATACTGATTTATTTTAAATTGTTTAACAACATTACTGTTTTTACTGCATTTTACTGCACTACTGCCTTAGTGAGCATAAAAAATCTTATTGACCCCTAAACTGTGTGTACTGTATATATATAAACCTACCTATATATAAACCTAGTGTAAACAAAAGTTACCTAGAATGACACCTAGCCCCAGGGATCTGTTTCCACTAAAATATTAAGCAGCACAACTGTTTTCCATATTGATAATAATAATGTTTGTTCAACTCCAAATCAGAACATGAGAATGATTTCTGAAGAATCGTGTGACACCGAAAACTGGAGTAATGATGCTGAAAATGAATCTTTACCTTTACGAGAATAAATTACATTTTCAAATATTTTAAAACATAAACGATTTAATTTAGAAATACTGATTTATTTTAAATTGTTTAACAACATTACTGTTTTTACTGCATTTTACTGCACTACTGCCTTAGTGAGCATAAAAAATCTTATTGACCCCTAAACTGTGTGTACTGTATATATATAAACCTACCTATATATAAACCTAGTGTAAACAAAAGTTACCTAGAATGACACCTAGCCCCAGTCTTTCCTATACGTTTGCACAGTCATCCTCCTCCTTAAGCCAGAGTGGAAATTTTCCTGACATTTATCTGGTGACTTGAGGAAGCGGATGCCTTGCCACGTGATGAGTGGTTCAATTGCGAGTGACTTAGAAGTGTGGCCATCCTGGCCCTGAAATGGGGAGACCTGTACCGAACAAGGTGACGTCATTCGTTCAGTGAGAAACTCAGTGCTTTGTCTCATTGTGCTCCCTTATTGCAGCCATGCAGCACACTGGACAGCACAGGAGCATCCATGCAAACCGAGACAGAAAACAGTCCAGATTGAAAAAAGGAGATGCAAAACAACACAATAGCAATAAAGGACAGACATTAGAATGTAAAACGGTGGAAGAAGACAGAGGGGTAGAAGAAAGTCGATATTGTCTATATTTCTATATAGAGAAAATAAAGAGGTTTATTTATGAGAGGATAGATACATAGAAATGAACAAGAGTGAGAAGCAGATAAAGTGCAAGCTTTTGCAAATAACTTCCAGACTGCCTGCAGTCAGCAGCACTAATAACAGCTGTTGCCATCCCTCTGAGTTGTGGAAATGGAGGTTATTAAGCATTCCCTTTGAATAAGCTGCTGTAAAGCTAATGTATAGCTGATCCACTTGTGCACCCTTGTTTAAGTAGGCTCTTTCATGTTCCTGCGCATCAATGTCTGAACGTCTTTATCCCAGACTGTACTAATAATGCTGTCTGCAGCAGACATTTTGGCTCCAGAACAAGGGACTTTCATACGATGGCACGAAAAGGGGCTATTCCCTCTTAGCTCTTCCTCATTGCTACTTGCACCTATCTTTGTCTTTGTTACTGTTCGCTCTCGAAGCTAAACGAGTAGCCTCCCCCACTCACTGTACCAGCATGTCATAAATCATTTTTAAATGACTACACCTCCACTGAGGCTGTGGGACTGGAGTGTGGCTGGCTAAAGAGGCCATACGAGGACAATGCACCATTTAGTCGTAGAAATGAGCGGTTTACATAGCTGAAATTCGATTTCGTAGCTCGATTTTTCCAGCAAATTGTTGATTTTTCCATTGTAACAAGTTTATACACTTTTTAAGTACATATAGACCAGTGTATTTCTGTGACACATGACCTTAATATAGTATTATTTACCAAAGGATACTAAACACACATATTGCACGTTGCATTATATCATTTTACGCACAATATCTTTGATTTTGTTCTTTTTGTTTTTAAAGAGGCAGTTCACCCAAAAAATTTCAATTCGTCATGTCTTACCAAACCTCTTTGACTTTCTTCTACAAAACACACGCACACACACACAAAATATATTTTGACACGTTTTGTCTGTATTGAAAGTGAATGGGCTCCAAAACATTGACTTTGATAAACCAGACAAAAAAACTGCTGTTCTTTTAAACTTTCCAAGCGTCAGAGAATCCTGAGACAAAATGTTCACAGTTTCCACATTAAAAGTCAATGGGCTCCCAAACAACACTGAACCCCAGTAACTTTCATTAAATTGAAAAAAATAGAAAGTATTGAGACATCTTCTTTTGTGTTCCGCAGAAGAAAGAACGTCATACACGTTTGGAACGACATTCGGTTGAGTATATGAGAACAGAATTATCTTTATCGAATTCAAATGCACAGAGCGTGATGCTTCTGTTGCTGAAAAATATATGTAGTATAGTGTGCAAACACGTTAGTGCACGAGTAGCTATAGGCGATTTACTGCACTGGTGAAGCCGCGGCATGTCGGGAAGACGGAGGGTAATCTGATGAGGCGTACCCGTGGATTGATTAACAGAAGATTGCGGCAAACGCGGGGAGTAATATTTTCCAGCGCTTTATCATTTTGCTAGCCTGATGCTCAGTGGCTTCTCACCCTGTTTGAGATTCTGACCCTCCCCCTTCGTTTCCCATTCCTTCCTACTCTCGGCTCTCTTCTCCTCTCCCCTTTGCCCCCTCCCTGCTCCCTCTGTCTCTCACACACATTTCCTCTCTCAGACGCACGCATACACGAGCGCACAGACTGCGAAAGAAGGGGGGGGCAGGAGTAGTAACGGAGACACGATGCCTGAAAAAACGTGATCAAGGGAAAGAGAGAGAGAGTGAGAGAGAATAGGGATGTTGAAGGCTAGGGAGGGATTGAGGAAAAAGCGAGAGAGTTTGAGATTGGGGACAAGGGATGTGAGTGCTTGAGTTGCTGAGAAGAGACAGAGTGATGGAAGACGCAAAGGCAGAAAATGTGTGTGTGTGTGTGTCTGTCTGTCTGTCTGACAGAGAGGACACAGTCTGAGGGGCTCGTGGTGCTGTAGACTATAGGATTGCTGTAGGGGAGGTAGGTTGTGTGCTACCTATGGGATCAGCGTGATTGTCTTTGCTCTACCTGCCTGTGGGCTCATTGTCTGTGTGTGTGTCTGACTGACTGTTTTTCTATTTCCAGAGAAAGAGGGAGAGATGACCAGACACTTAGATTGGAGAGTGGAGAGGAGGGACGTTTTCTCGTTTACTGTTTTCTTTCACTTTGTCTTTGTGTCGTCAGGTTGAACTTTTCAGAGTCCGACACGTTTCCGCATCCTTCATGCTGCAACGTGAATTGGTTTTTCGTCTCGTATTTTCCACAGACTTCGTACGTCGACATGCACTTTTTGTCGCCACAAAGCTTGACATGGTCAAAGTCTGCATGTTCCAGATGCCACAATAAGGTAGTACATCTCCTTTTGGATCTTTGTCATTCGCCCCTGCTACATCATTATGCGATTTTTGGCACAGCAAAGGCTTGTATTTGCCGTAGACAGTTTTATTGTGGTGCTTTTGATTGACACACCTGTGCACACGCATGTATGTGAGACAGATAATAATCTCTAATTCTGAGATAGAGAGATGCTTTGAAGTATGCTTGTTTGGCTTATTTGATGTTTTAAAAGACAATAGAAGTGTGAGTCTAACTACTGCTGCAGTCGTTTTCATAATTCATGACAGTGTGATGTTTGAGAAATATTTTATCGCCATAGTATTTTTGAGTCTTGACCAGTTTGAAGTATTGCATGTCTGCAACCGGCAAGGCGTGAAGATCTTAATCAGTTTGTCAACTTGCAAATTTTTTTATGATAGTCACGGTACATTTTTTGGTAATAGTCATGGTCAAAATTTGAACAGTTTGGTGTCTCTACTCACTCAGTCACTGTGTCAGTTGTACCAGCTGTCTACCAAGAAGGGGCACTATTGCACCATTTTACCTTCTTCAGGTCCCCATTTGCATGTTTGTGCACTGTGTAATATAAATCCATGTAATAATAAGTGTTAATCACTTTTTTAGCTACTTAAAATGTTTGCATTGGATATATTCATATTTGTTTTGTTTTATCTTCACAGGTTTCAACCTAACACCTGGATCTCCTTCCATATACTGTGCTGTAGGTATTCCATTTTGCCCTGTTCTCATGTTACCTGATGACAGGTGAAGGAGCCGTTCAAGTGTTAACATGTTATTTTTGGTTGGTTGATTTATGGCTTTTTATATAGTCATTTACTAAGAATTACTTTACACTGTAAGTTAGTTTTATTTGATCATAGTTTTCTCCTGGTTGTTATGTAATATTGCGGAGAAATCCTCTATCTTTGTCTCAGGAGTCGGTGAATGTGGCTTTGATTTTCCAAAAGAAAAGCTCCTCAAGCTGATGAGGTTTTACTGAAGCTCCTGGTAGAATCGTGCAGAGGATGATGCCACGGCTTACAGCCTCTGCGGTGAAACATATTGCAGTAAAAGTACCCATCAACAACACCCCCATGGTTTTATTATGACTGACACAACACAGTTTGGTGCAAACATTATGTGTTTACTGCTCTCTGTGCACCTTCACTGCCTGAAGGAAGTGAGGGTGAAAATCTGAACAGCGCAATGCAGTCGGAGCCCCTTTTTCCAGGCGCTTTAAAAGAGTTTCCGAAGACATCAGAAAGAAAGAATGACGTAATTGTGCATTTTTAATTCCAGAAACATGGTCCTGTTTTTTTCACAGTATGTCTCTTTGTCCCTGAGACCCTTAACCTGTGAGGTCAAACTAGGTCACAGGTGAGGTCCTCAGGAACAGGGCTGCATGCGCCGTCATCACAAAAAGTCAAACCAAGGAGAAATATTTGCATTTTTATTATGTCTTTAAATCAGTCTTAGCGATATTTACAGTAGCTGATTAAACATATGCTGAAAAAGATCCTTTTTGTGTTTAGATTTAGCGTTATTGTACTGTAAATGATTAGATTGTACTCAGGCCCTCCAGTTGTGGTAGCGACTACTGGGGACACACCCTATTGGCTGGCTTTGTGTTCTACACAAAGAAATGGTCCAATAAGAAGACAGCCACGGGTGGTGACCCCATAATATTATCTTCACTGATACTGTCTGTCCGTCCACACAAAACAAGACGGATGTAGTTTACGAACATACAAATGTGTTGATCCATATATGTCATTATGTATCTCTTCTCCCCTTTATCGATGCCAGTGACTTTTTTTGTTTCATTTAGATACTATAATAGTTTTTATTAATATTTAGAATTAGTTTTTATTTTTAAATGTTCCTTTTTAATTTTAATTTAATTAGTTTTTGTATTTTTTATTTATCAATCTAATTAGGTTTTCTTATGTCAGTATTTTTTTTTAAATCATTTTTATTTCAGTTTTTGTTATTTTAGTACAAGTTAAACCTTATATTTTATTCCATGTATTTTTCTTTAGTATGATATTATTTTAGTTCACTGTAATAGGCCTGATCTATACCTGATGCTCTCACTGTGTATTGGTGAGTTTTCTTATTTTCATATGTGCATAATTTGTTCAGACTTATCAATAGAGCTATTTAAAAATAAATGAATTAGTGAAAGATAAATTAAACATCCCACAGAGCATCACTGCAACATGTTGGATACAAAGATTTCTATCACAAAGCAAATATAATAACACTTAATAATATAGAAAAAAGTCACTCTCCTGCATGTGACGCACATTCAAAATCACTAATGAAAAATGAACGTGGGAAAAAAGAGATGGAAAAAACACTCCATGATATATACATTTTTCAGTGTACTCTCGCTGACTTTCTGGCCTTCTGTTGGAGGGCCAGCTGTAGAATTAGCATCTCAGGACAGTGCAGCACAATGCTACCTGTCTTCTGATCATTGCTGATAGGCCGGCTGACTGACTACACCGTCTTTTCTCTGGCAGGCCTGCGGTGGAGCTCCTGCTCACTATTGATTGGCTTGTCTTTGCAGAGACAGATGAATGCATTAGTACCCAAGTCGCTCCTGCCACTGGAAATATATTAACTTCATATATTAGGCACCCTGTCTCGTTACCATGGCGACACTTTGGAAAAGACATGGGAGGGGGTAGAGGCAGGAGAGGGGGTTTTGGGGTGATGGAATAGGGGGGAGGGGTGTGGGATACAGGATGCAATGAGCTTGTGGGCTTGATTGGTAGTCTCTCTCTGTTTCTTAGACACACACACACATACACACATTGACTATGTTGGGGATCCTACTATATCAGATTTTTGAAATATGTTTATGTTTTAACCTTTCTATTAATCTTTTAAATGGCAATTATGCTTTTCCTAATGTCTCACCCATTGTTTCATTATTGTAAATTTACGTTTGGTCTATTTCCTTTCTTTTGTCTGCTGCGTGATCGATCAATCACATGCACAGAAAGTCTTTTCTTTTCCCTTTGTTCCGGTCAATTTGGATCATTTGCAATATCACGGCACCCCACCACCATCATCCACAGGCATCACCCTCTCCCTCCCTTTTCCCTTCTCTCGCTCCCTCTCTTTCACACACAACACTCCCCATCTCTTTACTTTGCAGCAAAATGGTGCATAATGGGAGCAGGAAGAGGGTTGAAAAGACAATGGAGTAAATTAGCAATATTTCTTAATGGGGGAACATTCCACAAGACCATGAACATTACAGACGTATATTGCTTTTGTCTGGAGTCACTGCAAGATCAAGATGAACTAGCCTCACCTATGTAAAACAGATAAGAAAATTCTGTTATCATTTACTCACTCCCATGTCCTTCCAATCCTGTATGACTTTGTTTTTTCTGTGGAACATAAAAGAAGATATTTTGAAGAATGTTGGTATCCAAACATTCCGGTTTTCACTGACATTGGTTTCTATTGTATTTTGTTGTCCATATAGTGGAATCAGTAGGAACTGATCATTGGTCACCAATAGACCTAAGGCTGGGTACTGCCATATTTAAATTTTGACAGGAATGAAAATGAGGCTGTGGCAGTTAGAAGTACTACAGCATGCTTTCAATGGAACTGTTGTTTAACAGCATACTGTCTGTGCAGCTGCTGAAACGTGTTTACGGAAGAAAAAAACATTCAGTAGACAAACACCTTTTAAAACAGTTTTTAAAGTTGTGAGTTGGTGAAAATGATGTGATCTATGACCTTTATACAGTGTGTACAATTGAATAAGTCTTTCCCTCACAGCCTTGTTTTCATCTAAATTCAATGTGACATCTAACCTGACTATATTCTTTCAAATATCTTTTATGTTTCACGTAAAAAAGAAAGTCAGGCAGGTTTGGAAAGACATGAGGGCGAGTGAACGAGTTTTCATTATTTGGGAGGACTATCCCTTTAAGAATCCTACACGAGCCTATAGTCGATATACACGTTACAATGAACTAGAAAAATGTAGACTTTTTCTACTTGTTTATAAATGTTGCGATATCACTACAAATCACTACATAAGATCACTCCCATTATGTGTATTGCCAAAGTCCCTTTTTCATTTCTGTCAAATGAAAATGTACATTTGCTGTGCCCATGAGATAATTATTTCGTCCTGATGATGTCATCCTTAAAAGAATTTTCAAAAGTTGTTTAGTTTCAAACAGCTTGAGGAATAATATAACCTTGAATAACAGAAATGTTTGCCATGATCTTAAAACTGTTGCTTTTCAGCTCGGTAATTAACACAGTTTTGAATTGCTATCAGTGCTTTATTGATGTCGATGACAGCCTTCGTTTGTGCTGGGGCCATATTCTCACCGAATACAATATAAGGAATGTAGACTCTTGTTTCAAAACGCTCGATCGCATATTCAACAATGAATCGAGAGTAATTGAAGCAGGAAAAGTAGGTAAGAATTAATAAATAAAATATTATTGGTGTTATGCTACTAAACAATAGGCCTATAGTACGAGAAGCTGTTGTAGTGACTATATAGAGAATGCAGTACGGTCTCGAGTATCTTTTTGCTTTTAATAAACGGGTACTTTATAATAACAGTAGGCCCTATTAATAACCGAAATTATATTAAAATGATGTTTCAGTAAGTATAAAAAATATCCTTCCGCTGGAATATAACGTTGCTTTGCAACAAAACGCTGTAGCTGATATTTCTTACAAAAATCATGCTTCGTTCTGAAGTTATGGCATCGTTTTACTACAAAGTTTTCATCATTACGCATGATTAAATATGTCATTCTGTTAAACTGACCATTTTCTGTCATTTCTGCTTGATGTCAACTGTTTTGTAGCCTAATTAGACAGAAACGTGCATTAAATGTTTCACGTTGCTCCACTTCGATTTTACTGTAAAAACTAAGGCTGCAATTAAACGTTATTTATAGTGTGTTCAGAAAGTTTCTCATGTTTCTGTATCTCTTTCACAGGGAGAGGCTATGACTTGATGCTGAAGAATATCTTGATGGCTGAAATTATGCCTATAGTGGAAGAATTTGACCAGCAAAAAAATGATGGTAACAGTTTTATCTAATTACCAGTTTCAGCAACCACGTAATAGACTAACTGCTTGTTTGGGACCAGACCTGTGACAATTCATTAGGCCATAATTTGAGTTCACAGAGTAGTAAATATTTCCTTTCAAACGTGATTCATTGGAAATGGTAAGCGTGAGGATCCTTTATTAGTGAACGCCAACAATACTTAGATTCCAAAGGGAAGACCTAGAGACTAGCATGATGTTTACTGAAAAGTGATATGTACAAATGTGAAATGATTGTCTACACTCACCGCACCCAGAAACACAGAGTGTTTATGAGATGCTGCCTGGGTGTTGTAAAGCTGTAAATCTGTCCGTTCTTGTGGTTTGATTGCAAGTGTTACATAATACATAGACAAATTGTTTATCCCTTGGAAATGATCAATTTGATCATCAGAGACAATACAACAAGACCCCCCCCCCACACACACACACTTTATTCCTTCTCAACAAGAACTGTTCACTTTAGGTCATTTCTAATCATTCAGTAATTTAATTGTGGAGACCATTGGCATGAAATATCAGGGAGAGATCCAGATAGAAACAGACATGTAATCTTTGACATACACACTTTGACTGAAATTGAGATTAATGGCTCTGTCCTTCTCTCCTCTCCTCCCTTCTTTCAGATACAGTATATGAGTTCAGGCTACAGGCAGCAGCAAACAATTTCATTGCTGCAGCCTCGGGGCTGCCCAGAGGTGAGACTTATTACATTATCACTTCATTTCTTTGGCTTGGTAAACCATGAAAAACTTGACCTGAGCCTTCATCTTCAATATTGCAGCACTCACATTTCCCTATAAGTTCCATCACAATTTCCGCTTATTTCTCTCTTAAATCATAGCAAGTTCTCCTGCTCTAAAACTCAATGCACCCAGCCACCTCAGTATTACTGACTATTATACTGTACATTCCTTGCACATGGATATTGCAGTATCTAAAATATTTTTTTTTTATCGTTTCCTGCAGCCTCTGGATGTTTCCCCCCATGTGGTGAGTAACAGTATATATGTACTTATATACTACAGTATATACTGTATGTCATGACCCTCCTGATGAAGCAAAAAAAGTGCTTGTTACATAATTTAAGGTCCTCAGATTGCTACACTGAAATCTCTGATGAACCTTTAGGCATTTTTAAGGTACCTACATCTTCAATATTGCAGCACTCACATTTCCCTATAAGTTCCATCACAATTTCCGCTTATTTCTCTCTTAAATCATAGCAAGTTCTCCTGCTCTAAAACTCAATGCACCCAGCCACCTCAGTATTACTGACTATTATACTGTACATTCCTTGCACATGGATATTGCAGTATCTAAAATATTTTTTTTTTATCGTTTCCTGCAGCCTCTGGATGTTTCCCCCCATGTGGTGAGTAACAGTATATATGTACTTATATACTACAGTATATACTGTATGTCATGACCCTCCTGATGAAGCAAAAAAAGTGCTTGTTACATAATTTAAGGTCCTCAGATTGCTACACTGAAATCTCTGATGAACCTTTAGGCATTTTTAAGGTACCTCAAATGTCCTATTGAGTACTCCAGAGACTCGATATATATTAAGTGACTGCAAACAAGTGACTTCCCTTGTTGCTGTACATACCAATGACTGTCTTCAGAGTTCTTGCAGAAATGTATGGGTTCCATCTTTTCTTTATTTGTTTATCAGAACAATGTTTTTAAACTAGCACGTTCATGGAAAAGCTCAAAGAAAAAATATCAAATTGTTTAAATTGATAGTTTAATGGTTAAATTAAACTTTAGTTGAATGATTTTAATTAATGTCAATTGATTGAAATCATTAAACTTGTTAAATACAATTCAAGAACAATTTATAAATGTTTTACAATAAAAAGAAAAGAAAATTCCATAAAAGATTTTCTGGACCTATGATTTAATACAAATTTTATAATTAAAAAGTTCTTTAGAAAAATATGTCTTGTGACAGAAGTTAAACCAAAATGTTATTTGTTGTGAAGACCTTTGATTTTCTGGGTGTACACAGTATATGATAGTTTCATCAAATAATATGGTGAAATGCTCATGGAGTTCATTTAGAAAGCTCTGGAAATGAAGTTCATGAGGTGTGTCATGCATGATTGAGAATGTGGATATACAGGTGCATCTCAATAAATTAGAATGTCATGGAAAAGTTCATTTATCTCAGTAATTCAACTCAAATTGTGAAACTCGTGTATTAAATAAATTCAGTGCACACAGACTGAAGTAGTTTAAGTCTTTGGTTCTTTTAATTGTGATGATTTTGGCTCACATTTAACAAAAACCCACCAATTCACTATCTCAACAAATTAGAATACTTCATAAAACCAATAGAAAAAACATTTTAGTGAATTGTTGGCCATCTGGAAAGTATGTTCATTTACTGTACATGTACTCAATACTTGGTAGGGGCTCCTTTTGCTTTAATTACTGCCTCAATTCGGCGTGGCATGGAGGTGATCAGTTTGTGGCACTGCTGAGGTGGTATGGAAGCCCAGGTTTCTTTGACAGTGGCCTTCAGCTCATCTGCATTTTTTGGTCTCTTGTTTCTCATTTTCCTCTTAATACACAAGTTTCACAATTTGAGTTGAATTACTGAAATAAATGAACTTTTCCATGACATTCTAATTTATTGAGATGCACCTGTATTTATAATTGTTGAAAATATATATATTTATAATATTATTATATATATATTTATAAAATATATATTTTCACTGTATAAATGGGTATTTGAATGTGAAGATATGAAGATGCCTTTTTATTTTAGAAAGGAGATACTTTATAAGGGGAGCAAAGGGGAGGGTTCCGGCAATGTTGCGATATCTTAATTTTTTAAAATGTAGATATATACTAATACTCTAAATGCTTTTTGATTTACAAATACAGTTTTTTCAAAGACTACCAAAAAAAAAAAAAACATAGTACACTATAAATGGGATCAAATATTTTTGTTAAGGTTTCCAGGTTCAGGGTGCTGTTTATAACTGCATGACCTGTCAGTACGACTCCTGTGAGTTCCCGCTGGATTGCCCCGGTGAGTTGACAGGCTCCTTTACATGTGTGCAGTGTTCTGTTCAATATATTATGATATGTAATTCTATGCAGTCCCCCACTCACCCACTCTCTCCACACTTGACATGATGGATATGTTATAACTCAACCTGACAGAACCACCTCTGTAATTATGTAACGGCATTTACGCAGCGCAAACATCTACAGCTTTTAACTCTACTTAGGAGCACAGCAAAGTTGTTAAACGAAACCTTGGGCCTTGACACACTTTTACACATAATATAATTTCGCACAGATAGCCCTGTGGGTCACCTAAGATGGCAGGCCTTCTCCCACACACTGTGGTATTCATTTCCACTCAGCACAGCTACAATTATTGCTCAGCGTATCGTTTCCTTGGCTGCTCTCACTAGAGGCTCTGCTTAAATATTATAATTAGGTGAATGGTGGGCAGACTGTGCTGCCTCTGTTCTTCTGTTGACAAAAGGCATTCAATTGCAAGGTGAAGTGTTACAGGTCTGCATCTAATGTATTGCTCTGTGTGTGTGTGTGTGTGTGTGTGTGATGTATGTGCTTTTACAGTGAAGGAAATCAAAGTAAATGAGAACAACAGGACTCAGATGTGGTGTAAGGTCCCTTTCCTGCTTCCTACAGATGCAGAGATAGTCTGGAGATATGCAATGGTGATGGGAAAATCACTTCAAACCGTGAATAGCTAACATAGTTTATGAGCAAAACTAATAGTAATAATAATAATAATATTTATTATTATTATTATATATATATATAAACCTTTTTTTTTTAAATTCAGCACACTTTGGCAGTTTCGATTAATATTATTTATTTATTCATTCATTCATTCATTCATTCATCATTTTTATAATTTGTTTAGTCAGACAAAATTATGGGACCGTAAAGCACAAAATTGAAGCACATTTCTTGCAGAATTGACCAAAATCTGAGAGAAATACAGCAGTATATTACTTGTTTTATTGTTTTATGCAAACAAAATTACAGTATGTTTCTTGCCGTTTTAGTGAAGATTCATTCATTCATTCATTCAGATAAAATTGTGGTATGTTTCCTGCAGTTTTAATGAATATTCATACATTCATCTTTTTTTATTTAGATGCAGACTTTATTATTATTATTATTATATATATATATATATAAACCTTTTTTTTTTAATTCAGCACACTTTGGCAGTTTCGATGAATATTATTTATTTATTCATTCATTCATTCATTCATTCATTCATCATTTTTATAATTTGTTTAGTCAGACAAAATTATGGGACCGTAAAGCACAAAATTGAAGCACATTTCTTGCAGAATTGACCAAAATCTGAGAGAAATACAGCAGTATATTACTTGTTTTATTGTTTTATGCAAACAAAATTACAGTATGTTTCTTGCCGTTTTAGTGAAGATTCATTCATTCATTCATTCAGATAAAATTGTGGTATGTTTCCTGCAGTTTTAATGAATATTCATACATTCATCTTTTTTTATTTAGATGCAGACAAATATGTTTTGTATGTACAATATGTTTCCTGCAGAATGTATAAAAATTAGAGGGGAATGTAGCAATATTTGTAATATTTATAAAATTTTTATGCAAACAAAATTACTGTTTACTGCCGTTTCAATGAAAAAAAAAAAAAAAAATATATATATATATATATATATATATGTGTGCGCGTGTGTGTGTATGTACTATATATATATATATATATAATCAGGGCTTGACATTAACTTTTTTGCTCATCAGCCACTGTGGATAGTGGTTTTCCACTTCAATTTTGTTGTTTGGAAATAACATTTTATATGACTTAATACTGCATACAAAATTTATTTAAATTTATTTCCAGGTCATTTTTGGCCTATTTAAAGGGCATTTTTCCCTAACCGTATTAAATGCATGCATCATCTTTCATATCAAATTCTTGCATTTTATTAATAATTTCACTTAGTATAATAAGACAATATAGGGCTGTTACCAATCAAATGAAATGGACCAGCCAATCACCTGACTTGAATCCAATAGAAAATCTATGGAAAGAACTAAAGATTAGAGTTCATAGAAGAGGCCCATGGAACCTTCAAGATTTGTGTGGAAGAATGGGCCAAAATCACACCTGAGCAATGCATACGACTAGTTTCTCCATACAGGAGGCATCTTAAAGCTGGCATTATCAACAAAGGCATTTGTACGAAGTATTAAATACATTTCAGTAAGCATGTTCAAATCTTTTTCCCTGTGTCATTCTACTTTATTACACATAACTTAATTTCTGAACTTATTTGTTTTGCTTTCTTTGTATGTATGGATTACTTGGATTGTTACCGACATCTGGTGAAAATTTCATGTCAACAGCACCTTTAGAAATATATATATAATAATATAATAATATATTTAAATGTATCTTGTTTTTCTTTTTTTTCAAATGCAGTCAAAATTACAGTATGTTTCCTGCAGAATTTACCAAAATTAGAGGGGGCTATAGCAATATTATTTTCTTTTTATGCAGACAAAATTACAGTGTATTTCTTACAGTTCCAATTACTATTAATTCATTCATTTAGCAATATAGCATGTAGCAATAGTTGATGCATATTTGAATTTAGAGTTGAATGTGACAGTATTTTAAAGATCAGAATTTCTAACCATGGAACCTTCAAGATTTGTGTGGAAGAATGGGCCAAAATCACACCTGAGCAATGCATACGACTAGTTTCTCCATACAGGAGGCATCTTAAAGCTGGCATTATCAACAAAGGCATTTGTACGAAGTATTAAATACATTTCAGTAAGCATGTTCAAATCTTTTTCCCTGTGTCATTCTACTTTATTACACATAACTTAATTTCTGAACTTATTTGTTTTGCTTTCTTTGTATGTATGGATTACTTGGATTGTTACCGACATCTGGTGAAAATTTCATGTCAACAGCACCTTTAGAAATATATATATAATAATATAATAATATATTTAAATGTATCTTGTTTTTCTTTTTTTTCAAATGCAGTCAAAATTACAGTATGTTTCCTGCAGAATTTACCAAAATTAGAGGGGGCTATAGCAATATTATTTTCTTTTTATGCAGACAAAATTACAGTGTATTTCTTACAGTTCCAATTACTATTAATTCATTCATTTAGCAATATAGCATGTAGCAATAGTTGATGCATATTTGAATTTAGAGTTGAATGTGACAGTATTTTAAAGATCAGAATTTCTAAGCCTTTCCTTCCAACTCTTTCTGTACTTACAACCACTGAACTGACATACAGGAGAGAACGATGTTGATGGATCGGTTTGACGAGGTCACAGTTGGAGTTGATCCACTTTACTTCGTCCCCTCTGCCCGGCCTGAGCACTCAGGCACCTACCAGTGTGAAATATTCTCTCAGGAGCACTCACTCGTCCGTATCTACTACTACCTCACAGGTAACCACTCACATCTATGAAATATAATTACATTCCTGTGCTGTTGCTAGTACTGACCAAATGTCTGTGGTTTTCACCTCAGTAGTCCCTATGGCACAGATAGGCCATGCAGAACTACAGGATGTCTTTGAACAGGCTCTCCTCCCAGGAGGCCAGTTCCCTCCCCTGTCCTCTACAGATCCATTCACCTTATGGCTGCCCAGTCCTGCCCTTGTCACCACCTGTCTGACTGCAATGCTTCTGCTGGTCTTCCTTAGTCTAGGGTAAAAAAATATTTATTTTTGGTGTAATTCCTATTTGATTTGGTTTGAACATGAGAATAATGAGGTAAACAAATAAAATATTTTGTCTTTTTTATTTTTAAATTATTCATTTATTTATGTATTATATTTGTATGATTTCATTCATTTTTTTCTTCAACTCACAAACCCCTTGTAGTTCCCTCACAAATTTCAGTTGGGGAAACCATGCATTACAATAATGTGCCACAATGCAAAAAAAAATTAAAATCCTAACAAATAGTCTTTCTTTATGTACAATATAATTTATTTATATTTTCTCTTGAACTTGGGTGTGAAATTTTACTTGGACAGGTTTTTACAAGTTTACTGATTTATTACTGTTTTATTTGATATCTCCTTGTCCATAGGGCGCTACATTGGTTATCTTATCAGATTGGGAACAATGAGTCTGATCCAGCCCAGGAAACAAAACTCACCGAAAAGAAGAAATATTTGATTCACTGCTAACAAGAGAAACGCAATAAAATATTAAGGCACAACTTGTTTCACCGGTAAGGCATTTCTATTTGATTTCGGACCAGATTATTAAAGAATAATTGAAATATTATTATATAGAAGTCAGCTTTTGAAAATGAACAGGAGAACATGGGAGAGCCAGTGAATCTGAGTTTATGAGTGAGGCTGCCCACTTCATCAAGTTATAAAGCCTCCTTTATACTACTAAATATAGCCAGACGTGACTCAAGGCGTTACTCGCCTTTACTCAGTGTCTTTACTCTTACTCAGTGTTTTGCTGCTGTTGTCCCAACAACCAATTAGGTCCAAACTGGGCGAGGGAAATACTTCATTGTACAGCACTGCAATTTTCCATAATGTTTGTTAGGACAATGTGTATTTAAGAGCTGCAAAATTTTTACGGTGTCTGGATTTTATCACAGGGCTTAAGATTTAAAGACCTAATGTATTCTTCCATAAATTCCGAATACATTTAAATAAGCAGGTGTTTAGGGATGAACTTTGTTGATCACTATCATCACCACTGGTCATATTTCTGCTTCTCGTCTCATTTGGCACCTCTTTACCGCTACTTATCTGCCCTGAGATAAGATGATGTCCGCCAACTCAGTGCTGAGGTCATGACTGTTAAGAGAAACCACCCAAATTAGAAGACTACACAATGTCAAAGTAAAGTGGAAAATAGGAATTCAAAGACGCAACCTGTGCCTGTGCCTCTGGATTTGAATGTGTGAAGATTTCATGTATAGTTTTAAAAAAAGTGCTACTTTATTCACTGGCTGTTGAGAATGAGCATCAAACGACAAAACCGCCAGACATCGTCAGGAAAAGTCTCAATTGGACTGTAATAATTGGTACTTGTATGATGCAACAAATACATTTAGACAGAATTATATGATGTAGGTATAAATATTGTTTTACAAGACTTCTATTCTTTTATTCTAACTTTTGATGGAATCATTACAAAGTTCTGAATGTGAAAAAGGCAGATTTGGGATTATTCTCTCTTAAGAGTTTCCTTGAGAAAACAAACTATCCTAACTATTAGATGTGACATGGAAACATAGTCATGTCTTCAGAGACACTAATGAGGACTGTTCTTTCCAAAGTTATAAAAAAAAACTGTCAAAATTTGTGATTACAATCAACATGAAATGACTGTGGAGACAAAAAAGTTTTTAAAACACTGCTGAAATCCACTGCTGGAAGGTGCCTGTAATTGGATGTCAATTGAAGTGAAAAAAATCATCTATAGGAACAGCCAATCCTGTGAAATCAAACAATTTGCCAAACTGCAGGCAAAAATATAATTGCATATTGATCAAAATATAGGCCTACAAAAATAGAATTTAAACAAAATTATTTGGCAATAACTAGATATTATAAATACAGCATACCACCTGACAAGTGATGATCATGTTTTGCTATTTTTGGCATAACTATATTACATATATTATGATATTTTTTCCCTTTGTTTAATTGATATTGTATATATTAAAGCACACAGGATTAATTATTGGCTATTTTAAAACGGATAGTTCCGGTCTTTGATTCTGATTGGCTGAGCCATGTTCGAAGCTGATGTAAATTACTCTACAAACATACACCATTGTTTACGTTTGTGTGTTGCTCGGCAACCACTTTGTTGCAACCACAACTGATTCTGAGGAACTACATTGATCGGTGAAAGAATTATGTTTTTATTAATATCATTACACTTTATTTGCTCTGTTTTATTTTGTGAAACCTTACTACGTATATGGAATAACCGTTTTATAAAAGTATCCACTTCGCGTCGTGCCTAACAACGCCCATTAGCTGTTATAAATTCACTGTTAACCACGGCTTCTTGGTTATTAAGTTATTTTATTGTAATATAACATTTTATTTATTATTTTTATTTTAAATGTTTAATATATTGCAAGTGGGAAAAAAAAGACAATTCTCAGTTTCTCGCCTTCATGAAAAAAAGAAAAAGAAGCAGTTATTTTGAACAATGTTTTAGATGTTTTTGTTCATTCAGTGAAATCAGCTTCAAAACACTGGACCCACACATATGAATGAAAAACACTTTTTTCAAAATATCTTCTTTTGTGTCAAAAAGTCATTCCAGTTTGGAATGACATGTGGGTAAATTATGTAAATTAATTTTTTTTTTTTTTTTTTTTACTTTTGTCTGTATTACAACTTCCTGTCCTGAGTTAAGCAAAAACAACACCAACAACCAACTGTAAAACCTAAGTAGAGGATCACATTATCAATTATTATTTGTTGTAGTTGTGCGTCATGTTGTCAGCACAGTAAGCGGTGGCGGTTACAGTGATGACATTAAGTTTATCAATGAAGCTGAATCATTTGTGGTTGCTATTGTGGTCTAGCTTTGTTGTGGCACGATCAGTGTGTGAGAAGTGAAACCGAAATGACAGTTGGATGAATTCACTGTATGAGGCCAACAAAGCACCTCTTACTCACAGAAATCTGTTTCCTGTTTTAATCACTCCCAGATGTGCGGTCTGGGTCTGTAGACCCTCTGACGCAAGAAAGGGAAAAGAGACAGGGTGGGCAGGATCTGAATAATTGCGAACATTTGTCAAGGGGGAAGCATCATTTTTGCCATGGGTTGACTACCAGTAACAGAAAGAGGTTTCTTCATTTTTCTCAAGCGTAATCACGATGAGTGTTGCGTGTTTAAGTCATTGCATCTTTATATCAGTGCCAATCTTTATCTGACCAAATAAAACATGACTAAACAAAACAGAAACCACTGGTTTGGAAATCGCTGGCTGATGTCAGTAGTGACCGTTTTATCCACCTCTCAGTGTTGAATGAGTAAGAATGATACAGGGCAGGTCCATTACTGGAATTTCACTATCAAAAAAATTTATATTTTGGCAAACGGAAGAGTTGCATTAAGCTCAAGTTGGTCGTCTGAGTCATTTCCCATAGAATATGTGTTTAAAGTGCTTAAAGGTGTGGTCCGTTGCTCGGAAAATTTTCAAACGTCCAGTCATTTCAATCAGAATCGTCTCGTTACGTATGGTAACCCTCGTTCCCTGAAGGAGGGAAGGGAGACGTCACGTCGGCTGATCAACGAATTGGGATCTCGCATAGAGAGAGACCAATCTACTTCGAATGTAAACTAAACGAGCCAATGTACATTGGCATGCAATTATTGCATCCAGCTGCCGCTGATCACAGTGTGAGTATAAGTAGGCAGCAGATGCAGCGCATGTTCAGGTTTTCGCTGAGGAGCCGAGCCGAGCCGGTGACCCGGCCGCTCAGCGGTGGTACAGGAGCTGTGGCGACGTGATGTGACGTCTCCGTTCCCTCCTTCAGGGAACGAGGGTTACCATACGTAACCGAGACGTTCCCTTTCAGCGAATTGGGATCCCTCACAAAGGGCCACAGGTACTGCCCCTTCCAGTGTCCCGTGGAAGCCACCTGCGCCCCTACTTTTTGGCGTAGGCCAGGGCTTACCACAAGAGGACCAGCTACTGCTGCTATGGCACTACCCAATCAGTAAGATTGGATAACACTGGGAAAACGTACCCGTTCCACTTGAGACAGGGATGTTGCGGAAGCTCCAACCTTCCCGAAGGAGGTTTCGGAAGCAAATACACATATGAACATTCCTTAGGTGTAGAGGTCTGCTTCCCGACCCGAACCCGACGGGTCCCGAAATACTTTCGGGTTTCGGGTCGGGTTCGGGTTATTGTTTAATGAATAGCTTCGGGTTCGGGTTGGGCTCGGGTTTATAGCTAAACTAAAACTATATGCAGTAGACTATGCTGCTTTCATAGACGCACGCACACACATTATTGCACACGACAACACAGCACGGAAACCTTTATTAGTAAAATAGCTTCGACAGGTTACTGACTCGCAACGTTATATTTCTCTGCAATGAGGGGGTAAAATCGCTGTTTTTGAAGTAAGCCTCTTTGCTTGAAGAGAGAGGCGCGCAGACGCAGGTTCACACACGCAGCTTTCACCTCTCTCTGCTAATTCAAATAAATGCGATCTTACTGCACTGTATCTCTGTGTCTGATTTAAAGCAGGCCGAATGTAAACGAGCCTCAACTGACGAAAATGACCAAAATTTTGCACGATGGAAGAATTATCGTCTTGTCGTATACAACCATTCAAAAACTCGGCAGAATAAATGTGACCGCTGCACCTGATGTTCATAAACTTTCATAACTGGTAAGTGTTTTTTCTTTTGCCTTGTGAACTGGCCGAGCCTTAATGATTGTGTTTCTTTACATGTATTTGTTTACTGACCGTTGCATGCAATCGTGAAATACACCTTTTTTTTTTTTTCCTATTCGTTGTGTGGGGGGGGGGGGTTTCGGGTTCGGGCTCTAATTTTAA